AAAGTTTGTAACACCGCGAAATATTGGTCCTAGACCCACCTTTAAGTATACCGATCGTCATATCTCGACTAGCTGAGTCGATCTAGACATGTGTGTCCGCCCGTCCGTCTGTCCATTATAATTTGTAAACACGATACAGGCCACAGTTATGGATCAATCTTCACGAAATTTTGCATGTAGAATGGGTTCTGGCCAACGAAGACCCCTATTGTTTTTGGAATAGATCGGTTAATACTTAGGGGATGAAATGGACCAAAACTTTATTTTTGTCGATTTTTCTGGTCTCTCCAGAGGCCGCAATTATGGCCCAAACACCGCGAATTTTTGCATGGAGAAGGGGATCGGGCCAAAGAATAAGCATGCCTGTTTTGATAAAGATTGGTCAATATTTAGCGGGTCAAATAAACCCTGACTTTTGTGTGGAAAACGACAAAATGTGTATTCCATGGCGTATATATTTACCCCTGAAGGACATAGACCCGAGAAGTTGATGGTTATTAGTTTTTTGAGTTATCGTGCCCGCCATTCGCAAAATCGTTGTTTGAGGAAAAACGCGTTTAAAATTGTGAAGCCCTCTTGCTGTCACTTGATGATGCTGACACTATAAATCGCCTATATCTTCAAAGATTTTTGAGGTTTCCACTTAAAAATTTCTAGGAACATTCTTGAATTAGTGTTGGTTCGAATTAAATCAAAATACAAAATTATTTTTTTTTTTTTTTGAAACCGAGTATGGGGGGATCCCCTTAAATTGTGAATATCATAAAATGTCACCGTTCCAACCTCTCGATTCGATTTAGTAAATCAGTATAATATGAAATTATAAATATGATTTCAAATGTTCTACGGCTTAAATAAATATATCCCTTGTAAATTGTACATAGAGAAATATTGCAGAAGACCGAATTAAATAGTCTTGTGTCTTTCGTGAACGACCTAGTTCAATTGAACGATTCTGTTCACTGAACGAGTAAACGACATAGTTCAATGTTTATTATTGTCGTTCATTGAACGATTTTGTTTACCTAACGTCGTCGGTCATTGAACGACGTTGATCACTGAACGACACAGAATTTTATTCTACAACTTCAGTGTCGTTACTTTGAATAACTGAACGGCGTCAAACAAGATCAACTTCATGTAAAATCTGATAAATTGAAAAAAAAAAACACTCGGAAACTTAGTCCATTGCGGTGTTCAAAAGAAACAGGTCATATATCATCTGATACCGCTAGTCGGCCTAACAAAACTGACTTTTTATACCCTACACAACTATGTTGTCAGGGTATTATAGCTTTGTGTAGCCCCAAAAGTTTGTAACACCGCGAAATATTGGTCCTAGACCCACCTTTAAGTATACCGATCGTCATATCTCGACTAGCTGAGTCGATCTAGACATGTGTGTCCGCCCGTCCGTCTGTCCATTATAATTTGTAAACACGATACAGGCCACAGTTATGGATCAATCTTCACGAAATTTTGCATGTAGAATGGGTTCTGGCCAACGAAGACCCCTATTGTTTTTGGAATAGATCGGTTAATACTTAGGGGATGAAATGGACCAAAACTTTATTTTTGTCGATTTTTCTGGTCTCTCCAGAGGCCGCAATTATGGCCCAAACACCGCGAATTTTTGCATGGAGAAGGGGATCGGGCCAAAGAATAAGCATGCCTGTTTTGATAAAGATTGGTCAATATTTAGGGGGTCAAATGGCCCCTGACTTTTGTGTGGAAAACGACAAAATGTGTATTCCATGGCGTATATATTTACCCCTGAAGGACATAGACCCGAGAAGTTGATGGTTATTAGTTTTTTGAGTTATCGTGCCCGCCATTCGCAAAATCGTTGTTTGAGGAAAAACGCGTTTAAAATTGTGAAGCCCTCTTGCTGTCACTTGATGATGCTGACACTATAAATCGCCTATATCTTCAAAGATTTTTGAGGTTTCCACTTAAAAATTTCTAGGAACATTCTTGAATTAGTGTTGGTTCGAATTAAATCAAAATACAAAATTAATTTTTTTTTTTTGAAACCGAGTATGGGGGGATCCCCTTAAATTGTGAATATCATAAAATGTCACCGTTCCAACCTCTCGATTCGATTTAGTAAATCAGTATAATATGAAATTATAAATATGATTTCAAATGTTCTACGGCTTAAATAAATATATCCCTTGTAAATTGTACATAGAGAAATATTGCAGAAGACCGAATTAAATAGTCTTGTGTCTTTCGTGAACGACCTAGTTCAATTGAACGATTCTGTTCACTGAACGAGTAAACGACATAGTTCAATGTTTATTATTGTCGTTCATTGAACGATTTTGTTTACCTAACGTTTTCGGTCATTGAACGACGTTGATCACTGAACGACACAGAATTTTATTCTACAACTTCAGTGTCGTTACTTTGAATAACTGAACGGCGTCAAACAAGATCAACTTCATGTAAAATCTGATAAATTGAAAAAAAAAAAAACACTCGGAAACTTAGTCCATTGCGGTGTTCAAAAGACCAAATTCAAATACTGCAATAGTGTTTTAAGAAAAGCTAGGGGACCGTAAAAGAAAGCACCCATTTGCTTTAATTGTCTCCCAAAGACAATCGTTAGAAGGGAGCTGGAAATCACGGAAGAAGTGGCACAGCAAAATATAGCGGCAGTGTTGCCAAAACTTGATTGAGAAAAAATGCTAGATTTTGCTGAAAAATATGCTAGAAAGTGCTAAAAATTTTAGAAAAGTGCCAGAAAAAAGTGCTAAAAATGAATTTAAGAAAATTTGATTATAGTTTATAATGATATCTATCCTTCTTAAAATTTAAATTAATAGCTATGTTGTGAGGGTATTGCAAGAGTTTGTGTTTCAATAGTTTGTAACGAAATATTGGTCCTGGACTTACATTTTGGTATACGGATCGTTATATCCCGAATAGCTGAGATGTATGTGACTTTCCGTATGCCCATTAACATTTGTAAACAAAGTAACGATCATAGCTGTGAAACAATTGTCACGATATTCTGCATATCCCGTTCTGGCCAGTGTCTTCACTGGTATTGTGTTTGGTAAGAACGGTCAATATTTGGCTGTTGAAGTCAACAAAATCATTTTATATTTGTTTCTGGTCTCTCTAGAGGTCTCAAAATTGTACATGGGGAAAATGCTAATAAGCATATTGAGCAAGTCAAATTGACCCAGACTTTTGTTTGAAAAAATACAAAATTGCATTATATGCTCTTCACATTTATTCTAGAAGGGCAGGCACCGTGTGTGGGAGCTATACGTAAATATTTACAGGGGTATATCTATTCTAATAATATTTTGTATTACCATTACCGCACTAGATTATAGCTATACAATTTTGCATAAAGGTTTTGTTTTGTTGAAGCGCGACATCTATCGGTTTTGAACGAATGATATTTAGAGGAGTAAATAATACAAAAAAATTCTAAATGCACTTTTATAACCCGAACACCAATAAATACGGGAAATCTAGTCAACGAAAAAACATGGCTGCTTTGATAATGATCTGTCAGACATTGCTAGTACTCCTTGGATGTTTGGTATGGCAAATGTCATATGTCGGTCTAAGTATTGGTCTAGCCCTCACATAAGGGTCCCCCAATATTCGGTATTTTGGGGATTTTGGACACATTTTCCAATCGAGCTGGCTGTAATTTATTATAAAGTTATACAAAGTTCGGCCGTTAACATAATTTTTTACTTGTTATATTCTGATAATGTAGTATTATTACAACACCAGGAGGTGGTTATTAAGCAGAATTTTTCACCGACACGGAAATTAGTTTCGCAGAAAAAAAATAAAGTCTTGTGGAAGTTTCATAATGTATCATATGTATAGCCCCGTGGACTATACTGCTCTGCTCACTATAAAAACATCGGAAAATCAAATCCACAATGTTAAACATACGGGAACTTCAATGTGTCGATGTGAAATCGAAAAACTACAATTTTTTTGGAGTGATACTAAAAATTTTGAAAAAATGTTGGAACAAATTAAAATGCTAAAAAAAGTGCTAGGTGCTAGATCAATTTTTTTGGTGCTAAACGAGTTTAAAAAGTGCTAAATCTAGCACTAAAAGTGCTAAATTGGCAACACTGTATAACGGAGTGCAGAAAATATATAGTCAAGTTCTTCGAATGATTGGGAAAAGGTAATCATTCTTTGCGGTTGATGGAACTGGAAGCTTAAATGCAATACCAATTGAACTGAGTGACCATTTGAACGATATAGCCCAAGACTAGAATTATATCTGGATCTGGCGACCGAATTAAACTGGCATATATGATTTAAATACAAAATGTGGAGTATGGCTTCAAATAGTCGACTCTGTCCGACTTTATAATCCATACACCACTGGATTATATTGTTTGTGGATAACGTTTTCTCCACATAAATTTATTAGTCTGCCTCCTGCAACCTATTGACTATAAAAGGTTTGCAATAAAATTTGCATTGCTTATGCAAATTAAAAATTTATTTTAAAATAAGAAAATATATATTTTAATTCTATTCTTGATTTTCAAATTTTCTCCATCGCCATCTTACTTGGGCAATGATTTATTATTACAATTTCAATAAAGCAAAACTGTATTATGTAGAACCTAACCTGTAATACCACAATAACCAGTCGTTCTGCCCACTGCCAACCCAACAAACGGCAGTTATTTGATGGCGTCAGGTTAATCTCTATTGTGTTGTGACTTGTAACGCTGAATGGATGAATGAGCCAGCCAGCGAATGAGTGAGTGAATGAATTAAGGAACTGAGGCGCACTTAGACCGCAAAAGTGCTGGAAACTGAATTAGATTTGTGACCAAACAATGAGACCGACGACAGAATGTTGTTAACTTCGACTAACCTTCGATTCTATAAATTGCTTACCACACGCCATAAAGATATCATAGTTTTATTGATCTCTAACGAGGAACGTGCTCTGAACGGATTTCAGATTCTTAAGATTTCTCTGTAATAAATTATTGATTTATTTGAAATATAAAAATTGTATTTCAATGTTAACACAAAAATGAGGACATCATCGGTGAGGAAAACGGAAAAAGGATATAAATTTCGTTGGAATTAACAAAATTTCTCTTGAAATGGATTTGTAGGTTTTTCTATTAACCGTTTTGGTGGCCCTTGCTGCGGTGGTGAATGGTAGGCCAAGTTTAGTGCCTGTTGGTGTGGTACCCTCCGGACATTATGTGGTATTACCACCCCATCCAAATGTGGTTGTAAGTGTGGCCAGTCCACCAGCTGGACCAGATGGTAGGTGAAATAATTTAGGATTTTTTTTTGGAAAATTTTCGGAATTGAAGATTCTCCATATTTTTAGCTGGAGCCGCTGTGGCAGATGCCGCTGTAGCTGTTGCCGATGCAGTTCAAAAGGCAGCCGATCAGGTTAACCAAGCTGTGGATGCCGTTGTTAATGCTCCACCTCCAGTACCAGATCGTAGGTTTCCTATTTTTTATGAATTCAGTTCGAATTCTCAATTTCCTTCATAAAAATTCCAGCAAATGCCGCAGTAATCGACAGTGTCGTAGCAGTTTCTGATGCCGCTCAACGTGTCGCCGACCAAGTCAATCACGCAGCAGAGTCAGTGGCCCTGGCCAATGCCGACGCTGCCCAAAAAGTCGTTGAAGCCGTACAAGCCCAAGCTGAAGCCGTCAATGCCCAAGTGGAGGCATCCGCTGATGCTGCTGCCAGAGCTGTGGAGGCTGCCAAAGCTGAAAGTGAACGTGCCAATGCCGCTGCGGCTGAAGCTGCTGCAGCCACAGCTGAGGCTCTGAATGCTGCCGCTGCTGCTGCAGCCTCTTCTGCTGCTGCCGCTCACGGTCCCGCTGTTGTTCATGGTCCCGCTGCTGCTGCCTCCTCCGAAGCTGTGGTTGTTGTCGTCCCCCCTCCTGCTGTGCCCGGTGCAAGTGGTAGTCCCGGTCAACCTGGTGGTGCTGGCGGTCCTGGTGGTTTAGGTGGCCTTGGTGGTCTACCATCGGTTGTAGCTGGTGCCGGTGGAGCTGGCGGTCCTGGTGGTGCTGTTGGAGGTTCCGGCGGTGCTGGTGGTCTGGGTCCTGCTGGCGGCGGTGGCGCTGGAGGTGGTGGTGCAGCTGCTGGTGGTGGCGGAGGCGGTGGAGGTGGTGCCGGAGCTGGTCCTCTAGGTGGTGATGGTGGCGGCGGCGGTGGAGGCGGTGGTGCTGCTGGCAACAGTTTGGTCTCAGGTGTAAGTGGTGGCAACGGCGGCAATGGTGGCGGTTCTCCTCTCCTTCTATGCGGTCCTGATGGTGTTGATGGCGCTGATGGTCCTCCAGGACCTGAAGGCTCAACCGGTGGTCGTGGTGGTAAGGCTGGCAAAGGAGGCTGCGTAGGCACTGGTGGTGGTGGAGGAGGAGGCGGCGGCGGTGGTGCTGCTCCCAAACCAGGACCACATCCTGCCCCTGTTTGGCCTGATCCAGTTGTTGTTAATGTGATGTAAGTTCCTGTAATCTGAGATTTTAAAATACAGAATTAAAATCGTTTCCATATTTCATTACAGAGGTCATTGGTAATTGTGTGACCCGTTCCGATGTGGCTTGGGATTTTATCTCGAATAAAATTATCTTAATTGACCACTTTATAATTTTTGTTTAGTTTTTCTTTCCACTTATTTTTTTTATTTTCTTCGAATGCAATGAAATGAAGGTGCATACACATATACACACATACATTTCTGTTCTATTCTATATTAATTTCAAAACGAGAAGTTGCAAGAATTCTATGGCGTTAAGTTAACCTTAGTTTAAGTCTAGTCAAGTCATTAATAACCCCAGCCATTGAAAATACATTTTGAGACATTGTTTTATTTTTGCTTTTGTATTATGTTTTTTGTCTTTGCATGTGAATATAAAAAATATTCAAAATAATTAAAATGTGGATGTTTTAATGCATGGGTGAGGGAGTTACCTTTTTACCTAGGGCAGCACACCTACAAGATATTCAATCAATAAAATGCTCTGATAAATTTGAGGAGTTGGGTCTACCATTTACTTAAAATTGGACGAAAAAATATATAAGCTATATCGAAATCTGAACCGATTTCATCGAATCTTATTACAGGTTAGGTTATACTAATTTCAGTATATTTTGTGCATATCAGCAACGTACGATATGAGTTCTTGTTGCGTCATTTACTTAATATCGGTAGAAAATATATATGGGAAACTTTCCGCACGCTAGGTTACATTAACTTCAGTACGTTGTGCAAAATTTTGTGTCAATCGGGCTAACTTTGGGTCCTTGGGGCGTCATTTACATAAAATCAGAAGAACTATATATGGGAGCTATATCTAAATATGAACCGATTCCTACAAAACTTGGTACACGTTAGGCTATACTAATTTCAGTACGTTGTGCAAAATTTTGTGCCAATTTCGCGTAAAATTATACGAATATATATATATATATATATATGTAGAAGCTATATCAAAATCTGAACCGATTTCAACGAGACTTGCCAGAGATTAATTTATATTAACTACAGTTCATTGTAAAAAATTGTGTGCCAATCGGACAAACATTGCCACACAAATCGGACGAAAATATATACGGGAGCTATATTAAAATCTGAACCGATTTTCACGAAATGTAACACACACCATCAGAGATGGTCCGTAAATGACCTACATATCCGACGTATAATACATACGTCGGAAACCTACTCAAAACCATTAGGTTTTTGACAAAATATCTGTTTCCTTTAATAAATTATCAAATTAAGTATGCTTTACTCAAATCCATATCAAATTTCAAAATTTTTATCTCCAAAAAGTTTGGAATTGTTTATCAGTTCTAGTAAGGAATAGTCAGATGATATATATTCTACAAAATACCTATATATGGTAATGATATTCAAATAAATAACGTTTACTACATTTTATACAGGTATATGACGATTTCGGCGTTTACACCTTTTTGACAGTCGAAAACCTAAAATTCGTCGCACGGACCATCCCTGCACACCATTCCAGACCTAATTCAGTACACTATGCCAAATTTCGTGCAAATCCAAAGACATATAGGGACTTTGGTGCACTATTTACATTAAATCGGACGAAAATATATATGGGAGCTATATCTAAATCTGAACCGATTTTTACGCAAATTAACACAAATCATTCTAGACTTAATTCAGTAGGCTATGCCAAATTTCGTGCAAATCGAAATATATTTATGAACTTTGGTGCAGCATTTACATTAAATTGGACGAACATATATATGGAAGCTATGTCTAAATCTGAACCGATTTTTCTCAATTTCAATAGGGTTCGTCCTTGGGCCGAATAAGTGACCTGTGCCAAATTTCATCTAATTCGAATCGACCCAGAAAGTGATTCTATGCATATTCTCAAACGGCTCCATGGGTCTATCTCGATGTTACAAACAGATGCACAAAGAAACATTGTGGCGAAGGATATAAAATAATCGAATGCTGGACAAGTTGGGATATAAACGATGGAACTTATATAAAACGAAATGTGAAAAAATTACATACAAATATTATGTGATGTTTTTTTGAATTTTTATTACATCAAGTAAGCCTACCACTATTTGTTTAATATGTCACACATCCCAACTGCCGGACAAAATGAATATATCAACTTTTTACAGCCACTTTTCCTAAATAATTTGGCGATAAAACAAATATAAAAAAATTATATTTTATCAGTAACAAACTACCCTGTGCAAAATTTCGTCTCAATCGAAAAAATTGGGTATTTGCTATACAATTTGCTATCTAAATCTGGACCGATGTCAAATGGTGCAAAGTTTCCTCTCAATCCTATAAACATTATGAATGCGGTATACTGTTGTGAAATCGGACGAACATAAAAAACCTATTTTTCGGTCCATATTTTTAGATCTGTCAATTGAAAGATAGCCTTTAGTATTTCATGGAAACCACATCCGCATCAAATGATTTTGAGGATGATTGAGGACGCGATTTAGATGCAATTTAAAATTAATTGTTCATAATATAGTTTATTTTAAGATTTATTCCTATTTATAGAAACCAAAGATTTATCCGAAGGTCTTGCTACAATCCGCAAGGTGTATACTTATACACAAAAAGTGATTATTTTTATATACGTCAATTTTTTGGTGAAATTAAGGTAAAAAAAATAATATGATGACATTATTTCTTCGAACCAATAACAAATAAATTTCCTCAATATCTTATTTTGTTGTTGCTGTAATTTACAAACCGCTACGCAGACTTGTGTGATTTTGATATCATTTGATTCATAATGGTGAAGATTGTTTAATTTTTAGATTGATACATGTCATTAATATAATGAGAACCAGCAAGGAAAGTAGTAAAGTCGGACTGGGCCGACTATATGATATCCTTCACCACTTTGGGTATATTCTACATATGTATCCTAACAGACAACGCGTTTTTGTTATATATCTATATCTGAACCGATTTCAGAGAAACTTGCAACAGACTAATTTATATTAAATCAGTACGTTGTTTCAATCGGCCTAGCTATGGATCTTTTCACGAAGCTTTGCAACATCATCCTAGACTTAATTCAGTAACCTATACCAAAATTTGTGCAAATCGAAAGATATATAGGGACTTTGGTGCACCAATTACAAAAAATCGGACGAAAATATATATGGAAGCTATATCTAAATCTGAACCGATTTTCACGAAACTTAGCACACATCCTTATAGACGCAATTCAGTAGGCTAGCCACATTTCGTGCAAAACGAAAGATATATAGGGTCTTTGGTGCACCAATTACCTAAAATCGGGCGAAACTATATATTGGAGCAATATCTAAATCGGAACCGATATTCACGAAACTTTGCACACATCATTATAGACTTAATTTAGTACGCTGCGCCAATTTTCGTGCAAACTGAAAGATATATAGGGACTTTGGTACACAATTTACCTTAAATCGGACGAAGATATATATGGGAGCTATATCTAAATCTGAACCGATTTTCACGAAATTAGGCAGACATCATTCTAGACCTTATTTATTACGCTGTGCCAAATTTCGTGCAAATCAAAAGATTTTCAGTAACTTTCGTGGACTATTTACCTAAAATCGGGCGAAGCTATATATGGGAGCTATATCTAAATCTGAACCGATTTTCACGAAACTTTGCACACATCATTCTAGATCTTATTCATTACGCTGTGCCAAATTTCGTGCAAATCGAAAGATATATAGGGACTTTGGTGCACCATTTACCTTAAATCGGACGAAAATATATATGGGAGCTATATCTAAATCTGAACTGATTTTCCCCAATTTCAATAGGGTTCGTCCTTAGGCCAAACAAGTGAGCTGTGCCAAATTTCATCCAATTCGGATCATAAATGCGGCCTGTACTTTGTTTACAATTTAACACCAACAGACGGACAGACGGACGGACAAGCATATATCGACTCAGAAAGTGATTCTATGCATATTCCCAAAAGGAATATTTTTGCATGTTACAAACATATGCACAAAGACAGTAGGGTATAATAACAAATGTGATCTAAAAAGAGAATTTTGAAGAGAACGAAGCTTGATAAAAGGAATTTGGAAATATGTTTGCAAATTATACATATGAGCATCTTTGCTGGTGTTGTTCGGTCCGATCAATAACAGTCGTTCTGTATAATTAT